CACCAGGCCTCTAGTTAGAATATAGACTGTTTGCTTTAAATAGAGCAAAGAGAAAGAAAGTAAAGTGAGTTTTTCAGAAAAAGAGAGGTCTTTGGCGAAATTCTCAGCAATGTCAGTGAGGCCTTTTGACCCTCCCCGCTGGGTTTTTTTTTGATGGGATCATTAGATGAGAGAGGGGGGAGCCTGACTATATATACTGTCCTAGAGCTGGAAGGCCCAGTCTGCACTCTGCTGCGCCACCGCTCCCCCAACCTGCCCCATTCTCCTCCCACCCACCCTTCCTGCCCTCTGGGCTCAGGTCTGCTTTTCTTGCAAACCACAGCCACCAAGAGCTCCCGGCCAGAGGCCGGTCCTTATGACCAGCCACCTTCCCCAGCAGGTCACAAACACCTCTGATGATTGGACCATCTCTGGCATCCCAGCCAACCAGCACCGCCTGACCCTCACCAGACTGGACCCCGGGAGCTTATACGAAGTGGAGATGGCAGCTTACAACTGTGCAGGCGAAGGCCAGACAGCCATGGTCACCTTCCGAACGGGTGAGGGTCAGTCGTTGCCCCAGCTTGGGGTTCCCGTGGGCCTGAGAAAATCCTCCCAGGCTCAGGTGAGACCAGCGTCCCCTTGTCCCACTACTCACCACCCTTCCAGTGCCTGCCTCCTGTGGTTTGTGTGCCCAGGCTAAGGCCCCACCTCTCAGCAGGATGCCACCAGCCAGCCTCTCTGGCGCCCCTCAGGCAGAGCGGAGATCAGACCCACTTCCGCTGCCCTGCATTACTTGCACCTCCTCGTCTGACCTCCTGGCAGAAAGCACTCTGTGGAGAGGGAGACCTAATACTGCGTGCTCCCTCCCTGGCTGAGCTCAACCCGTTTCTACCCAGGACGGCGGCCCAAACCTGAAATCATGGCCAGCAAGGAGCAGCAGATCCAGAGAGATGACCCTGGAGCCAGCCCCCAGAGCAGCAGCCAGCCAGACCACGGCCGCCTCTCCCGTAAGCCCCCAGTTCCCCCAGGGGTAGAAATGATGCGTGCACATAACCGGAACCTGGTCCACAGCCTTGGGCTCACTGCTGAAGGACGAATGGGCTCTTGGTTCTCTCCGGTGTCTCCCCACAGTGAAGAAGTACAGATTGAAGCTTTTCAGATAAAACCCTGGAGTCCAGTTCTGGGGTTGCTGACCCTGTGGGTGCAGAGGCAGGGGAGGGGAGAACAGGTGGCCATTGCGCCTCCACACTCTGACCTGGCAGAAGTATGGCTTTCGGGAGTCTTAGCCCAGGGACTCCTCCTTGGAGAAGGCCACCTGGGTGACCCATCTAAGGTGACCCCAGGACGACCCAGTGCAGCCACCGGAGGGGGGCGGGACTGTGGGGAGGAACGGGTTCCTATCAGGAAGAGGCCAAGTCATGTTGCAACACGACCATCTTCTCACCGTGTCTTTCTCCTCTTTCCTCCCTCATGGATGGTTTCCCTCAGCCCCAGAAGCTCCAGACAGGCCCACCATCTCCATGGCCTCAGAGACATCGGTGTTTGTGACCTGGATCCCCCGTGGGAATGGTGGGTTCCCGATCCAGTCCTTCCGTGTGGAATACAAGAAGCTGAAGAAAGTGGGGGACTGGATGCTAGCCACCAGCGCCATCCCTCCGTCCAGGCTCTCAGTGGAGATCACAGGCCTAGAGAAAGGTAGGGGCCTGGCCACTGACCTCCTCTTTCTGTCCCCACACCCCTCCCCTCCCCCGCACTGCCCCCTGGCCACCAAGAGGAGAACAGGAGCTGTGGGGGTTCTCACTGCTCATCCTCCACCCATCTCTAGGCTCCCATGGATGCTCTGTGGTGCCTCAGTTCCACAAGCCCTCTCTCTCCCTTTCTGATGAGGGTGTGATGTCTCCCGAGTCCTTTGGGGTTTGCTTTTGGGGAAGGTCTGCCCAGAAGACACCCCCCGCCCAGGTCCAGGCCCTGAATGAGCTGTGAGCAAGTCGGAAGGTATTACCCAGCTCCTGGGATCAGTGAGTGTCTCTCTCACCAGGCACCTCCTACAAGTTCCGAGTCCGGGCTCTGAACATGCTGGGGGAGAGCGAGCCCAGCGCCCCCTCCCAGCCATACGTGGTGTCGGGCTATAGCGGCCGCCTCTATGAGCGCCCCGTGGCGGGCCCGTACATCACCTTCACCGACGCCGTCAATGAGACCACCATCATGCTCAAGTGGATGGTATGTGGCCTTGCGTAGCCTGCATGGGGAGGCGGGCGGAGCTCGTGTTGGGTGAGAGGGAATCACTTGTCTTCCCCAGCCTTTCCCCTAAGCGACCTCCCTTAAGTGTGTCTGTCCACCCATCGTCATCCCCACCCAGGCAGGCTCAGAGGGGACTTAACTCTTTGGGGAAATGTCCGTTTGTTTCTTGTCTCTAAAGGCTGGGGGACTTCTGGACTGAATACAGCATTCTCCAGAGAGCTTTGGGGATGTCATCAGAAATGTCGGCCAGGGTCCCCCCGTGAATTTTGAACTCTAGGCTGGGGAAATTCCCATTCCCCATGGCCGCAACTGGTGATCTCTGTTCCACTGTCAACGTGTCTCTTCTCCTTTCCCTAAGTATATCCCAGCAAGTAACAACAACACCCCCATCCATGGCTTCTACATCTATTACCGGCCTACGGACAGTGACAACGACAGTGACTACAAGAAGGACATGGTGGAAGGTGAGAAACGCTTCCGTGTGATTTGGTTTCCTCTGTTGGCACGGGGGGTCTTGGTGTTGGTGAAGGTGTAAAGCCCGGGCTGCTGTGACACACAGCATCTGTGCCCCATATCGTCGTCTCTTTCATGACTCTCTTGGGGTCATTGAGTTCATAAACCCGCACGGTTCCTTCCCATGGTGATGGGACAACAGATGATGGGGCCGTTCATGGCAGCCGCCCCAGCACCCAGCCCTGAGTCTGACTGCCCGTGGAGACCAGGTAAACCAGACCCACATCCCCATGTGTGACTGAGTCTCTCTTCCAGGGGATAGGTATTGGCACTCCATCAACCACCTGCAGCCGGAGACCTCCTATGACATTAAGATGCAGTGCTTTAATGAGGGCGGCGAGAGTGAATTCAGCAACGTGATGATCTGTGAAACCAAAGGTGAGGTCTGTGGGTTCTGTGTCTGTCTCTGTTCTGTGTGCTTTGCTGGGTGTCTCTTCCCCAGGAAGACTCGTTTTCCAGGTACCCCTAAACTTCATCATGCTTACCCTTTCATTTGCTTGCGCCTCATATTAAGTACAGATGGCTTGCTACATGGCGGCTACAAAGAACTTGGGAACTCACTCCTATATGAGCTCATGGAGTGGAACCCGTTCTTAGGTTGGAAATTTTCTATAAGCACTTTATTCCTATGATAACATTTGATGCTAACACTGGTTTATTTACTTAGTTAACTCCAACCCCATGAGACAGAAAAGGAAATGATATACCTTACCAAGGTCAAGCGGCCAGTTAGTGGTAGAGCACACTTTGGGCCAAGTTTGTCCAATTACAAGCCCAGTCTCTTTCTCTGCATTAAAACATGATAAACATATTCACATAATAATTTATTTTCACATTGGTCAAGTGGATAGATACTGTCTCCTTTTCGCAAACACTGAAAGCGTATTAAGCAGGTGTATTGCAAAGAACAAACTCAGGAGATTGCTAAGGAATAGCGACGAGAAAACCCATTTTCCTTCATTGGCAACATCTCTCTCCAGCTGTGCCCTGCTTCCCATCACTTGGCCAGCAAATACAGAGCACCTGCTGTGTGCACTGCCTGCCCTCTTCCATCGTGTTCAGTGCAGTGAGGGGCAGATCCACCCAGGACCAGAGGTCCTGTATCAGGGTGCCCAGGGCAAAAAGCAGAGCCCTCACACAGGTTACACTCTGGCCTTTGGAAAGGATTGCATCTTCGGGGGGACTGAGGAGGGAGTGGCCTAGGGGACTGGACAAACCTGCAAGGACCTCCAGGCGGTTAAAGTATATGGTCCTGGAAGGAGGGGAGACGGCCCTGTGGGCTGTAGGAGGGCTATTGTTGGATGTGTTTGCTGAGGGGTCAGTGGTGACTATGCAGGAACAGGCTGAGGGGAGAGAGCAGGGTGCGGAGTACAGGTAAAGAGAAGGGATGGGTTAGGGTCTCTTTTCTGAGAAAGTGTCATTAGGTTGAAATCATGGGAACAGATGAGGGTGCACAGAGAGTGCTGACCGACAGGGACCAGGAAGACCTCCCAGTGTCTGAGGAGAAGCTGAAAAGGAGAGAGCAGGAGAAGAGAGAGGAGCCGCACCAGTCAGAGGCTGGGGTATAGCAGAAGGCTGCAGTATCAGAAAGGCCAGGGGACGGCTGAGAAGAGGGTTAACAATGTCAGGTGCACCTTGATAGCAAACCCTGAGAGTTCACCATCCTACCTTGTTACCTTGGGATCAGCGTTTCCCAGATACTGTCTGCCCCAGGGAGTCCCGCCCAACACACCTATCCTCCTGCTCTGTGGCTCAGGCTCATGCCTAGTCCTCCACACCCCTTAACCTGCCAGGACGAGCAAGTCCGTGGGTGAATGCCTCCTTTCCTGGTTCTCCTGCTGGTTTCGTGCATTTGTTATACTTTCTTCCTGAAGTTCCCCAGCTCCTCTGTCAGGAAATCCCCACACCCTGCTGCCCAGAGCACCCAGCCTGGCTCCGGGCGTGGCTCACAACTCTCTGATTGTGTTTTGAAATACAAGGTCCAGTTCTCAGTAATCCCAGGTTTCACGGTAGATGCCAAGGTCCTGCTGAGCTGGGACCCCACGCTCACCCGATAAAGGGTTTCGAGGCCCCATTTCCCACACCCATGGAATCCGGATGTTTGCTGTTTGTTGTGAACGAGATGTCAGAGAAATCGATGCTGATGGGAGTTTTGTTCACAATTACAGCTCGGAAGTCTGGTCATCCTGGCGGGCTCCCACCCCCAACTCCGGCTCCACCTCAGCCGCCACCCCCTGAAACCATGGAGCGGCCGGTGGGCACGGGGGCCATGGTGGCACGCTCCAGCGACCTGCCCTACCTGATTGTGGGGGTCGTCCTGGGCTCCATCGTCCTCATCATCGTCGCCTTCATCCCCTTCTGCTTGTGGAGGGCCTGGTCCAAGCAGAGTGAGTGAGCGCCCTCCCCCACACCAGGGGAGGAGCCTAGGGAGGGAGGGAGCCCTCTCCCCAGGGCAGGATCAGAGGTGCCTGCTTCCCATTCACTGGGGCGCAAGCTCCTGGGTCCCCAGAGGGCTTAGGGAGAGTCACAGAACACCCCAGGACTGAGTCCCTCCTCTCAGCTCTCGGACCTGGCAGGTGGAGGAGAGTGTGAAGAGGGGGAGTTGGCCCTTCTGCATCTCAGGAGCTCAGGACTCATCTGGCTCCAACTCCTTTTCACACCTGCAGCTGCTGCTCTGTGTTCACACTTACCCACCTCTCCCCGCCAAACGTTTCCTGCCTCTGCTCTGGGTCCAGGGCTGCGCTGCACTCCCCCCTTCCTACAGCACACCTGGTCCATCTTGCCTCCCCTAACTATTGCTCCTTGTGTTCGCTCACCTCCTCCTCCTCCTCCTGAACACTTGTCCCCGTCTCTCCTCACCCTCATCGCTGCTGCAAAGGAAGTCGCTGTTAGGGAGAAATGAGTAGCGTGAAGAAGTTTGCGAGGTTCTGGGGTCCAACCCCAGCAGGTCCAGGGGTCCCCAAAGGTGTGGACGGAGTCGGTGAAAAAGGAATGACACAGAGACAGTGTTCAGTTGATCAGCAGCCTAGCCAGGATCTCTAGCCAAGTTCTGGTCAGGATCTCCAGCGAAGTTCTGGTTTGGATCTCCAGCCAGGTTCTGTGTCCATGTTCTCTTGCTAGGTTCTCCAGGTTCTCCAGCCAGGTTCTGTAGCCATGTTCCCTCGCTAGGTTCTCCAGCCAGGTTCTGTCACCAGATTCTAGTCAGGTTCTCTTGCTGTTTTATACAGGTTCTGTAGCCATGTTCTGTCTCTAGGTTCTGTTGCCAGGTTCTGTAGCCAGGTTCTGTCTAGTTTCTCCAGCCAAGTTCTGTCTAGGAGGTTCTCTCGCTAGGTTCTGTCTCTAGGTTCTATTGCCAGTTTCTGTCCAGGATCTTTTGCCATGTTCTCTCTCTTCTAGGTTCTGTGTAGGTTCTGTGTCTAGGTTCTGTATCCTGTTGTCTTGTTATATCTGTATTTATACCAGTTGATTCCAATCCTATCAATCTCTATTCCAAAGGTTAGGGTGTTTCGTATCTCCATTCCAGGGAGTAAAGATTATGTAGCTTAAGCATGATTGTTCATAGTTAAAGTGATTAATTACCCGCCTGGCACTTAGTTAAGGGGTTTTATTCCCTCCCTAACTTCAGGGGAAAATCCCTACCTGGGGAAACACCCTTTCTCAGAGAGGTGACCTTGGTTAAAACACATAGTGCCAAGAAGGTGAGCAAACATATTAAGAACAGTATGCCATATATACCAGGTCCCTTGAAACAGCAAGGATGGACCGGCTCCCAGCAGTGAGGGAGAATATTCTCGTCTCTAGGGCGGTGCCAGCTCCCTGCCTCCCTGGTCTGACCCTGTGCTCAGGAGTTTTCTGAGGTTCACATGGGACTTTTTCTAGCTGCCCAGGCCTCTGTGGCCTCAACAGACCTCTGTCCTTCTTCCTTCCAGAACATACAACAGACCTGGGTTTTCCTCGAAGTACCTTGCTGTCCTCCTCCTGCCAGTACACTATGGTGCCGCTGGGAGGACTTCCCGGCCACCGAGCCCACGGGCAGCCCTACCTCAGCGGCACCAATGGACGGGCCTGTGCCAATGGGGGGCATGTGAACAGGGGCTGCCCTGCGCCTGCCATGGGCCACCCAGGCGTGAAGCCTCCGCAGCACTGTCCCGGGGCACGGCCACAGGTAACGCATCCTGGGTGCGGGCGAGCAGGTGCGGCCGCCCTGGAGGGGAGGCTGGGCGCCTCCTGAGGCTGCCTCCCTGCCGGCCTCCAGGCCTGGACTGCGGGCCAGGCTTCCTTAGTCAGGAACAGCTCATCCTGCTAGAGGATGCACGGGAACGTGTCCTGGACGCCGACATGACCTTGCCATTCCTCTTCCCTTTGAGCAGCAGGACGACACCCACCACCTCCGGAGGCAGACCGCTCCTGGCGATGGACATGACGTCCACAGTGCCCCGCCTCCCAGGTAACAGGCCCTCCCACCCCTGCATCTGCCTCCAGTCCCAGAGCTCTCTCTCCCATAGGCCCTCAGGTTCAGCACCAGCCACTGAGAGGTGGGGCCAGCTTTGCGATGTTCCTCATGCTCCTCATTTCTTCTAGACTAAGGGGTCCCCGCATCTGACAGCCTGCTCCACTGGCCTTCCCCTCCCCCTCCCGGTCCCAAGGGGTAGTGTTTGCAGTTAGGAAGCCCTTTCTGCTCTGGAGCACTGGTCAGCCGCTCAGAATCTGCCCCCCACCTGGCAGGCTGCGGAGCCAGGCACTGCTGGCTTTGCCCAGACGCCCGTGACTCCACATTTTCTAATACACTTAGGACTTGCATGGAATACAATGGAGAGAGGCCAGAATTACCTGGAAATGGCGTGGCACCTCTCGATGTTCATAAGGGAGCCGCCCCTGCCCATCTGGGCCCTTTCCCCTCTGGTGTTCTCGACAGGGAAGCAGCTGGGCGGTGGGGACGTGGGCCCACCCTGCCCACACCTCACTCCCATTTGGTCTTGTGCATGCAGGGGAGCCAAGGCCAACCCAGACGAGGCCTCTTTCCTGTACACACTGCCTGGTGCCTCAACGCACCAGCGGCTGCAGGCCCGCCAGGACCGCCACCCCCTCCAGGAGCAGCCTGCTCCAACCAGCCAGTCCGGGATGAGGCGAGGACCCCAGACTCCGGGGCTGGAAGCAACATGGGACCCTCTTTTTCACCCAGGTTTGTGCCAGGGGCAGAGCAGGAAATTAAAGAGGCTGGAGGTAGCATGAGGTAGGAACCCACAACCCAGGAGTGACTTGGAGGAGAGGGGTGCTGGGGAGAAGTCGTTGAAGGTGGTGCTTGGTAGGGAGCTGTCCACGGCTTTAATGAGGAGAGACGGGGGAAGGACAGGGGCTGGCCACCGTCCCTTCTGCCCGAAGGCCTAGCTGATGTGCAGGGGCCTACCGGTCGGGTCCTTCTCCACCATCACAAGCCTCGTCCTCACAGGCTGAGGAAAAGGACACCATCCCATTTCAGAGAAAGACATTTTTTGGTCTCTGCATTAAGGCCATTCCAAATTCCTACTGCCTCTCATAATAAGAGGCGCTCTCTAATCACGCCAAAATACCTTGTTTTGTTGGGTCTTGTCTCTTAATTAAGGACTAAGGTTACATCAATTATTAGGGAGCCAAGTTCTCACAACCATCAGAACTCTCTGTGCTTCCACAGAACTTTTCTCCGTGGGGCTCAGTGCACACTAGCCCCTCCCTCTGTCTTCCCTGGGCCAGTGCCTTGGAAATCAGTGGATTCTTGGGTGGGTGCCAGATGCTGCAGAGGCTTGGGTCATGTTTCTTAGCCTCCGTGGTGTGGCTGTAGGTCCACGTGCAGACCCTCAACCCTGCCTCTGGGAGATGGAATTCACCTCCTAGAGCCAGGCCCGGCGCCACTGACACTGGATGGGCTCCCCTGGGGGAATGGACTGTGTGTGGGGTGATCAAGACCAGAAATCGCCTTGTCATGGCTGTAGGTTTCTCTCTCCCCTTTTGGACGAGTGTGACCAGTGCCTCAGAGTGCCACTTCCTGGACAGTCAGGATGTTAATGTTTCCATTCTCTCTCCCCGCAGGGCCCCCGTGCTGCTTGGGCCTGGCACCGGTTGAAGAAGTGGACAGTCCTGACACTTGCCAAATGGGTGGAGGAGAGTGGTGCCCCCAGCACCCCACGGGGACCCACGGAGGACAGGAGCCCGGGAGGCAGCTCTCCCCCAGCCCATCAGTGCACATATCTTTTGAAACACCACCCCCCATCATTTAGGCAGAAGCCAGCATTCCAGAAAGACTATTATGGTTTATAAAGAGACAGAGGAAATTGGTATTTATTTTTCTATAATAGCCATATTTATATATTTATGCACTTGTAAATAAATGTATATGTGTTGTTATAATTCTGGAAAGACATAGGGACTCCTACCCATGGAGGTATGAGAGGTTAAACAAAGAAGCCACCACATACCAGGAGCAAACCAGGAAAGAGGAACACGGACTGGCCAGCACCCAGATTGAGGAGGCGGCTCAGAACCTCTGCCCCTGCCCAGGAGGCTGCAGAGGCCCAGAGAGCAGCTGCCCGAGGGAAGACTCCCGCTCACTGTGCGTGAGGAGCGCACGGGGAAGGGGAACGGGGAACGCAGAGGCCAGGGGCGCACAGGCTGCAGACACCTGTGAAGACGGCCAGCTCCAGTGCTACAGGCAAGGTCTCCAGAAGACGCCCGTGAGAACAGACTCAGATGTGTATAGTACTATAAGCATTAACAGACCTTCCAGAATCAATAATCCGCGGCAACATCGCTCTGTAAAAACAAACACTGTAACTTCTAAATAAATGTTTAGTCTTCCCTGTAACCTTCAGCTTAGTCATGCATGAGTCAGCGTTTTCCTTAGATGTTAGGATTCGGTCTTTGAGTATCTGAAGAGAATACCCACTTGTGATGTTTTCAGATCAAGAGATGAGATCTGGAAAAGATAGATGTCTCCAATGTTTTTGTCTGTAAATATGGAATGTCGGTTGTGCTTTTATTAACGTGGGATGCAATAGTAACTGCTGAGTCCAAGAGGGAGACAGTGCACAGGAGGCAAGGAGAAGCAGAGTCAGTTCTCCTCCTGACTGCACTGAAGGTAAAACTCGGGTCAGGTCAAGGAATGAAACTAATCATTTCTGTAGAGGTCCATGTGTGCTGAAGACCAAGTATTTAAGAGTTACGCTACACATGTGGTGCCTGATACATTCACTTCCCTTCTTTCCAAAGATACACCCACACTGCCAGGGGAGCTGACTCACCACTTGTTTAAAACCCACATTTACTTACTGCTTGCTGCCCATCCATAGGATCCTCATACCCGGGACTAGATGGAGGCTGAAGCTTGCAAGGCCTCTTCTCAATCTCAGTAGAGTTGAGTTACAGATGAAATGCCTCTTGAGACACACAATCTCATTAAGAGGCATCTGGCTTCTTACTCTTGTCATGAATTTGATGAGCAAGACGGTAGGAAAGCCCCAGGACTGATGGCAGTCTAGGACAAGTGCTCCCTCTGCTGGCCAAAAGCAGTAGCGTGCCAGCTGGTAGATTGTTACCCGCTTTTTCCAGCCAAAGCTAAATTGGAAAAACTCATCAAGATGCAACATGACTTTCAGAAAAGTAGAATTTTAAAAAAAATTAAGAAAGAAAGTGAAGGACTATAAGCAATATGCAAATGATAGGCAAGGAGAAGTCGAACAGGTAAGAGAAATAAGATGTGACTTCAGACACAACCTGGGTGAGGGCGAATGCTCCCAATCTTCATTTAGCTAATCCATGGGGCCCTCAAATCCAGGCTACCGCTCACCTTCTAGCCCACTGGCTTTAAACAGCAACAGAAAAGGGACCAGCTAACACTCTCAATGCTAGCTTTTCTTGCCAATGGCTAAAAATTCAGATAAAACAAACACAAACACAAGTATCCTAAAAGGAGACATATGAAAGATGCTTTCTTAGTATGAGACACAGCCTTCTGAGACTTCACATTCAATCCAGTTGGTTCCAAACAAATGTGAAACAGCTCAGCTCAATAACAGATGTTGGGCATTACCTGGCTGGATCTCATTTTAGACTTTTAGGTCCATTCACTTCAAAATAAAAGACTGTCGCAGGAGACAACTTCTGGGGAAATTTATGTCAGAAATCTTGGGTGGATTTGAGACAAAAAAAAAAAGTAAAAGGCACAGGGGCTTCATCTGTTCTCCGGTGGGAACTTAATGGGTGGGAGGATAATGCCACCTTTCTTACGCAAAAGAGCAATCTCTTGCTTTAAGGCCAAAATCCTTTCCGCCTGGAGTTGGATCAGGTGAGTGACCTTCTCTCTTGCCATAATATCTGCTCTCCGAGGGCCCTGGAAGGCATTGCCCTGTTGAAAGAAAGCATCTCCTTACTTGAAGCATCATGTTGGATGAGAAAACGTCTGTTTTTATATGTTCTTATATGGAAGTGCCTGCCTTAATCCATTTAAACAGCCATTGCTCCTTCCTTTAAGGGGCTTGCATTCGTCCATTGAAATCCCACCGTTAGAAATGTGTTCCTTTGCACTAACAAACAACTCTTAAAATGCAAGTATCCTTTAGATGTGTAAGCCGCCATTCATACCTTGGAGGGCTTATCACTGGAATTATAAAAGACAAGGTGCCTCCTTTTTCTATACAGCTCATCACCATATTTTATTTTCTGAAAAGAAAATCATCTTTATGTCCTGCCCTAGCCAGTTTGGCTCAATGGATAAGAGCATTGCCCTGCAGACTGAAGGATCCTGGGTGCAATTCCGGTCAAGGGCACTTAACCTCGGTTGCAGGCTCGATTGCTGGCCCTGGTCAGGGTAAGTATGGGAGGCAACCAATCAATGTGTTTCTCTCACATGGATGTGTCTCTCACATTCATGTTTCTCTTTTCCCCCACCTCCCTTCCACTCTCTAAAAATCAATGGAAAAATATCCTCGGGTGAGGATTAACAACAACCGGAAATCATCTGTCTGTCCTTATCTGATTTCAGCCCCTGTCCAGCCAACTCCTGCTCATGCTCCAGACCTCACTTTCAGGGAGGCCTTCTTTGCCCCATGGACTAGACTAGGGTCTCCTGCTCTGTGTTCTATCAAAACAGCCACCCTGTGTCATTGGAATCATCAGAGTGCACCATTTAAAATGTATGACATTTGATCACTTTTTAACCTAAAGAAAGTGGCAATTTGTTATGGTTCAACCTAAATGTTTGATATATTTCTTGCGAGATCCTGGATCTCACCACTGTACCCAGCACTCACCCTAGAACTTGTTACCTAAGTAGTTACTCAATAAAATTTGAACATGAGCTAAAGGGCAGGACATTACCACCCAGCTAGTCTGCACTCTGCCAGGTGCTTCATTTAATCCTCACAACAACTGTGAATTCGATGGTGGTGGCCTAGTTTTACAGAAACTGGGACAGAGGTGCATGAACTGGCCCAAGCGATTATATTATTAAGGACCGGAAGCAGGGTTACAACCAGGTTACCTGAAGCCAAAAGCCCATGATTTGTCCATTACCCTCACTTATGATGGCAGACCTTCCTAGCAAATAGGGGTTATCATTACCCAATAGCTCCTCTCTTGCCTGCCTTCACTGTAGAGGCTGTGAACGCTAAACGCTAACATCACCCAGTTTCTCCTCCAGCTAGGGTTGGCTGAGTGAATATAAGCAGAAAACTGGTGCTTCCTTATGAAGGCACAGAAGTGGCTGGCATGTGGATGTGAAACATGGACCTGACGCAGCTGTTTTGTGACTCTGAGGAGAACTTCAAAGAATCAGAGAGAATCACAGAGATGCTGGCCACTGATATCACAGATCCACTAAATCAAACCCCTTAAGTCATCTCTAGACTTCTCGTTCAGTGAAAAAAAAAAATGAGCCCTATTTGTTTAAGCTACTTTCAATGGGGCTTTTGGTTACCGGCAGCTAAATGCTTGTACCAACTCACCAGTCATTCCAGGCATCATTTTAAAGGCACCTTAATTTTCCCTCATTCTCCTCACCATATCCAAAAAGTTTTTGACTAATCTTACTTGGGAATTTCTTTTGACACTAGCTAGCTTCTCACCATCTACATCCCAATGCATGCCTCGACTGTCGTAAGAGTAAGAACAACCCAGTCAGCTTTGGAGGTGGACAGACCTCGTTTTAAAAACTCACTTCCCGTGCATTAGCTCTGAGAGCTGAAGCAAGTTACTCCTTACTCTGAGCTTTAGGAAGTAGTGTTTTGAAGATTAAATGAGATATCCTTTGAAGAGAGACTGCATGTGTCAAGATATACTGTAAAGGTACACTCTGTAAAGACATATATATTAATTTTCCCATCCAACTGATCTACCTCCAAACTCTTCCCAATGCATCTGGACTTGTCAAAGCACTTCAGGTCAACAAATGTTTACTGACTGCTCACTCTGCGATTTTATTTGGGTGTCAACCCTCTCCAACACTGCCTTGATTCTCCACTCACAAACTCTTTAGTGGATAAAGGGCCCTCGGTATTCTGATTCTAAGCTTCCTCTCAAATCTAAGGTCCACTTTTAAGCTTTCCAAATCCTCTTATTCTTTCTCCGTGGAATAAACCATATTCTTTCCTCCTTTTGGACTTGAACTTAGACCAGAGATCTTAAACTCAAGCATGCATCAGAGTCCCCTAGAAGGCTTGTTAATGCGGTTTGATGCCAGGACTTCCCCAGCCCCCCAGCTTCTGACTCAGTAGATCTGGGTTATTTCTAACAACCTCCCAGGTGATGCTGATGCTTTCCTCAGGGGAAAGCACTCCTGGCTGAGGCCACAGCTAGGTGCTTCAAGAAAACCAAGAGAAACAATGGGCAGTTTTGCAAAACCTATTGCAAGGACATGAGCTATAGTTCATTCAGAATAGGTGCTGGGTTCCTGGAGGGCAAGACTTGAAGGATGAATTTCATTAAATAAGTAGTATCCACCACAAATTAAGGAACTCAATGTTAGGCTCAGTAAATATTATAAAGAGCCATTTGAAAGCCCTAAGAAGGAACAAGTGCTTTAGTGAGGCAACACGTGAGAGCCCGCAAGTCAAGACACCCACTTTAGGTTAAATGGAAGGAGCAGATATTGGAAATGGATGTTAGGCACCAAATTCGGGTAGTATATTAGTACTATTTATACCTAAATAGCCTTATCTCTCCAGGGCCAAGGCAAACCCCATAGATTAGCATTTATGTAAGTTCATGGCCCCAAGATGCTCACGATGAAACTAGTTCCTCAGGCTCCCTCTGATGGGGCCAGTGTCACATCTGTGTTCTCAGGGACCAGGCTGAGGCGAGAAGCGGTCTACTAGTAAGATCAAGGTTTGCTGAAATGCCAGCACTGAAATTCCCATGAACACTACCGCTACCGAACTGGCCCATGCCACAGAGGGTCCGAAGGAAAGCATACCTGCTGGTTCTGGAGCGTGTTCAACCGAGAATCGAGCTTCTTCTTTTCAATACATAGATCATTCATCTGGTGGAGCTTTCTGGTGTGTTCTTTTGTCTTCATCATCAGTTCCCAGCGCACTTGAGCAATCTTTTCCTACCAGGGCAGGAAGATGCAGAATGGGTGACATAAATGAGAGGAAATAGAGAAAAATGAATGTGCAGATTTGATCAAAGCCATCAGGCAAAGGAAGTGATGTGCACATGGAAAAATATAACCAGAAGTCACTATGAAAACGCAGCCAGAAGCAACTGCATGGGGTCTAATCTGATTACAGAAAAGATTAGAAGACTGTAAGTATGATCAAAGACAAAAGTAGGCAAAATAAGACAGACATCGATATCACTCCATTGTTGAGGAATGAACTAGTACGCAGACTGAGTGCTGGTATTCACTAGTTAAAAGGGAGAATGATAATTTAAGCAGAAAACTTTTAGATGTTGCTCTTTCCCCAGTCTTGGCCCAGGATCCCCCAAGTCCCTGAATGGCCATACATCTGCTGGTGGTTTTCCTTTGTTCTCTTAGTGCTCCAATAAATTATGTTAGGTTGCACATATCCTGTCTAGCATTCCCCTCATGGAGACCAATCCTATCACATGAGCACCTCAACCATTTACTTCTTTACAGCACAGTGGCAAATCCTGGATAAAAAAAGGATAAGACAAGAGAGCACTGGCAACCTCTCCACCTCCCCTATCTACTGATGAAATTCGGCAGTAAACTGAAGAAGTCATAATGACTTGTAGGCGATGAAATTGCCATAAAAGCTCCTGTCTTTGAATGAGGCTGTACCTGGGCACCGCCTCACCTCATGCTCTAGGAATGACATAGGCATGGACATCTTCTAAGGCCCTGCCAGCTAACTAGTCCGCATCTTGTTATAAAATTTGTTACTCAGAGCTTAATAAATTCCAAATTGTAACAGCATGTAAATGCTCTATAGAATAACACAATTAGGATCCACAGAGGATAGCCGTTCAGTTTCTAACACTGTTGGAGCATTTATACGTGAACGTTGACCTCAAAACGAAGTCTTTCTGTAATCAAGCCATTTTGCCATCATATTTACATGCACCCTGGACCCCAAGTGCCAGTGCTGGTGCCTTCATCCCAAGGTCGACTAAGTGAACGGTAAGGAGGCAGAGATAGGCTTAAGGTCAGAAGCTCCCACTGGGGATCGAGCCCACAACCCGGGCATATGTGCTGACCAGGAATTGAACTGTGACCTCCTGGTGCATAGGTCAATGCTCAACCACTGAGCTATGCCGGCCAGGCCGAAGTTACACTGATACATATTCCTCTCCGGGTTTGCATTTTCTTATTTTAACAGGATAATATATTAATTGGTAGTTTAAATTTTTCTTTCTCAGAACTTTGAATGAAAGCCAATAAGCAAGGACACCAACTGTGCATACACTGTTAAGGCCCTTGGCCTCAGTGGCTTCATTTCCTGGAACAGACTACAAATCATTGGAACTAAACACAGATATTGCCTCAAAAACAAGATAAAAATCACAGGTCATTGGAGCTGAAAGTGACCATAGGAGCCACTATGTCTAACCCCTCATTTTATAAAAGAGGAACCCAAAACAAAGAAAGGTTGAGGGACTTGCTTGGGACCCAAGATGACTATGGAAAAGCTTAGTCTGAGAGTTAATGCAACACGCCATCCACCACCCACTCTGTAAGGACAAATTCTATTCATGGGTCCATTTCTATCAAAGAAGAGCTTTGAAACTACTGAAACAAGAGGTTACAATCAATTCAAAATACATATTGTTGATAGACTTTTGCCTCCAAACATGATAATTAGAAGACATAAATTCTTACCACATGTCTACAACACAGGCCTTAAAAGAATATTAAAGATCAATAATTTGTTCTGAATAACTTTCAAGGTCTAATTTATTAACAATGTTATTCTGACTATTGAAAACCCGGGTAATCCTTCCCAGATTTCGTTTTCCTAGATGTCCTTTTTTCCTGATCATAAAAGGAATATATAAAAATCTATATATAAAAGTCTAATATGCTAAGTGTCTGATCAAATGGTCGACCAAACGCTCAACCAGTCGCTATGACATGCACTGACCACCAGGGGGCAGACACTCCAACTGGTAGGTTAGCTTGCTGCTGGGGTCTGGCTGATGGGGACTGTGCAAGATGGGTTGGACACACCCTGGAGCCAACCTCCCGCGGTCCCTTCCCGGCCTCTAAAATATTTCTTCTAATGAATTTCCTTTAATGTGCACGAATTTGTGCACCAGGCCTCTAGTCTATAATAATAAAAGCATAATATGCTAATTAAACCAGACAGCCGAATAACCTTCCGGGGACCTTCTGGATGAAGCTAGGGCTGCAAGGGCCTAGGCAAGCTGCCACAGCTGCAAGGGCCGAGCCCCTTGCACAGATTTTGTGCATTGGGCCTCTAGTCTATTATAATAAGCTTGAAAATACAAGAACAAATGAAGAAAATATCAAGCAGCCATATCCAAAAAAGGTCAAAGATAATATTGGTAATATTTTAGCATATTTTAAAATATATATGTATATATTACTATATAGCTATAAGCTTACATATTAAAATAATATTATATATACAATTTTATATCCTGCATTAGACCATGAGCATCTTCCTACTGAATTAAAATTATTTCCAAATCCTAAAAACAAAAAAGATCAGAAGTTCCCAGTGGAGGGGTAGGATGGGGAAGTGGGGCTCACAGACCCGCCTTCAGCTATGCAGATGCTTCGCAGGAACTGCATACAGCTCTCCAGGACTCCTTGCCTCCACCTAGACTGAACCGAAGTAGGTCAGGTGCCCTCCGTCCTTACCTCCCACTGCTTTATTTCCCTGGCATTCGTTATCTCCTTTCGAAGTTTCTTGATCCTGAGCTCCTCAAGTGTTGTGTTCACAGAGAGGGTCTGAAGAGCTGCGAGGTCTATCACGCGGCCAAACTTGCTGATCATCAGATCGCGGACTGTTTCTTCCATTTCTGAAAGAAGACAGTCACTACCAGGCTGTTCAACCGCTCCCACCGTTACCAAGTGAACAATACCAGTAACAAGAACATCCTCAGGACGGGCTTTTGTAAGATGGAAAAAGATTTTGTTACCAGTTGATTTTTCCTCTCTAACTTCTCAGCTGCTGCTCTCTTCACTTAAAATGCTCATTCCTGCATTATCTGTTCATCTACTTCAAAACCTTGTGTAAACCAGTTGGTGGGGCTCAGTGGTTGAGGGTCAACCTATGAACCAGGAGGTCCGCGTTCAACAGACTCATCTTCCCCACTGGCTTACGCAACCTGACCTGCCCCTCCTCAGACTCCAACTAGATTATAAACACGTCCATTTGTAAGTCTTTTATTATTGATTGCTATAGTATCAGTGTTAAGAATAGAGCAGGCGTTTAAGAAAAGTTTCCATCTTACTCCAAGTAAACATGAAAGTCTTGTGGTGTTTCACAGGCCCTGCATGGTCTACCCTCCCTGCCGGTGTTAGCTCTCCCACCTCCTTTCTCACACCTCACTCTTGGTTTACTCCTTGGCATCTCATATATGCCAGGCTCACTCCTATCTCAGTTCCCACAACCTGGAAGGCTGTTTCCCAAATAGCCACATGGTTCACTCTGTCCAGCCCATTTTCTGAAAGTGAGCGGGACACCCGTGGGAGACATGCCCAATACACTCAGTTCCGAAGGTGCAACTAACAGCAGGTCCTGGTCCTCCTGCGGGAAGAGCCACATCTTACCAGGCACATCACCTTTGCAGAGAGCCCTTCCCATCCTCCTAGGGACCTCACGCTGGCTTTCCCAGTCCTTTTTAGTGTGTTTTTTTAATGACTATCTCCAACTGACCTGTAATGTATTTCACTTGTGTTTGTTGTCTTTCCCCAATGTGAGAATGCTGGAACACCTGGGCAAAATCCATCTGTGTGTTCTGAGCAGCTCAAGAAAATGTAATCTTGTAAGGAGACCTTCTCAGTCACAGACCATCTCCAAGTGAAGTCTGAAGGCCCTCGGGTGTAACGTGACACAGTTCTGTGGTGGTGCAGAAACTGTCTTCAGGTATCATTGTTATGGTTGAGTTGTCACAGGATAAGTGGTTAGGCTGCCATTAGGCACAAACCAGGGAGGGCTACTTGTTTCTATTCTGTGTGAGGAGGGACACCATCGATGTGTGTAATACGGTGGCCATGACAACCGGTGATGCAAATGAAAGGGTTAAATTACTTGCCCAGTGTGGCTGGCCTATGGCTGCCCCTTGGCTCCCCTCCAGCTAGCCCCCTCTGAGGGGATAACCTCTCCCATGGCAATGCACTACAACATGGACTCTGGTCCTTGCCATCCCCCCGTGGAGCCAACCTAATGCCCTTTTGACTCTATCAGACCAGCTAATTTTCACTGGGGACATCAAGGCTTCTGGAACATGCCACCCACCTTTCCCATGTCTGTGAGCTGTGCCCTCCTTGGAATGGAGGAAACGTAACCCTTCCAGCGCCATGCCCTAGACCACTGGTTCTCAACCTTGGCTGCACATTAGAATCACCTGGGAATCTTTTTAAAATCCTGATTTCTGGGCCTCATCCTCTGGAAATTCTGTTTCTTTGTTACTGGTGTTGTAGCCCCACCCCATAACAAAGAAACAGAATTTCCAGAGGTTGAGGCCCAGAAATCAGGATTTTAAAAAGATTCCCAGGTAATTCTAATGTGCAGCCAAGGTTGAGAACCACTGCCCTAGACCAGTGGTCGGCAAACTCATTAATCAACAGAGCCAAATATCAACAGTACAACGATTGAAATTTCTTTTGAGAGCCAAATTTTTTAAACTTAAACTATATAGGTAGGTACATTGTTATTAACTTAATTAGGATACTCCTAAGGCTTAGGAAAAGCCACACTCAAGGGGCCAAAGAGTTGCATGTGGTTCGTGAGCTGCAGTTTGCCAACCACGGCCCTAGACTCTTCTCTTCTTTCCCGGGGTGGCGGGGGAGGAGGTAACCATATACCAACTGTGGGGTCTCTCATCACTGGCTACAGGAAAGGAACTCACTCTAGTTTCATACTCAGAATTAGAAATCACTTTTTAACCAAATTCACAACTTGCTTTCAGAAAATGGCCTGGAGGTGAGAGAACTAAAAGTCACTGAATAAAACTCCCACACTGAGGAACTATGTTTTATTTTATTTTAACTAACACTCCAAAAGTGTGATACTTCATTTCATTTCCTTCACACATTTTCCCAAACTTAGTTTCCCCAAATTGAAAGAAGCTTCCTCATTTTTATATTTGTTTATTCCTTGGCTTGATGAATAGTACTTCCAAATATAAACAGCATTCATGGGCTACAGAAGCCAAAGGAACATGAAGCACGTGAGAAACACGAGTACCTCAAGGTTTACACCTGTGTCTCGAATAAGTGTTATGCAAACATGGAGCACTAACATGGACTTCTTAAATTTTATACTTCAGCCCCCTGGAGGGCAGTGCCATCCGCACTGTGGGAAGTGGCCTTTATAAACCCAAGCAACCTGGACTAGTTGACCACTATATTCTCCCTTTTTTGGTTTTCTTTTTCAACTTTTCTTTAAAAAATCTATTTAATTGTAGCAAAACACACATGACAAAAAATGATTTAAAGGATACATTTTAAAATGTACAGTTCTGTGGTATTAAGGTAGATGCTACAGTAATATTATTTTTATTAAAGCTGAAATACTTAATAACTTACACATAGATTCCATATATTGGATATTACAAAAAAATTTTAAGATAATAATCTTTATACTGCATCTTATACTATCCAGTTCCAGATGGATTAAAAATGCAAATGTGAAGAACACTACTAAAAGAGAAAACTATAAAAAAGTCTTTATGACCTCAAAACAGAAAAGGATTTCTTTTTAAAAAATGTTTTTATTGATTTGAGAAGGGAAGGGAGGTTGAGAGATAGAAACATCAATGAAGTGAGAGAATCATTGATCTGCCTCCTTCATGGCCTCCACAGGAGATTGAGCCCACAACCCGGGCATATGCCCTGACTGGGAATTGAACCATGACCTCCTGGTTCATGGGTCAACACTCAACCACTGAGCCACACCAGCTGGGCAGAAAAGGATTTCTTAAACAATACACACACATACACATACACACACACACACACACACACACACGCAATGCACAAAGCACAAATTAATAGATAAAATGAACTATATTAAGATTTAAAATGTCTATATCCCCAAAAGATACACTAAACACAGACAAAGGCAAGCCACAAGTGAGAAGAGATTTGAAGTGCATTTAATGGACAAATAAAGAATATAGAAAGAACTCCCTAAAATTAATTTTAAAAATGACGAAAAAAGAAGTTACAGATTGGTAAAGCACATGACAGGCAAGTTACAGAAAAGGAAACACAAATAGATGTATGTGAAGTTGTTCAACTTCACCAGAATCAAGGAACTGTGAATAAAAACCACAATGAAAGACAATCTAACATCCACCAGGTTGACAAAAGTATTAAAGCCTGGTTGCATCAAGCACTGATGAAAATACGAAGCCTGGGCAATTGTCACTCACTGCTGGGAGCGGGAGGGGAGCTGAAATGGTAAAACCACTTTAGAGGGCAGTTTGGCAACTTTGCAGAGAGCTGAAAAGTACACATCCCTCTGTTACCCAGGGGCCCATCTGGGATTCACCTACACACACACACACACACACACACACACACACACACACGGGGACGTATACAAGAAGGTTTACTGAAACACTGCCTGTCACCATGAAAAATTGGAAATACCTTAAATATCCACAGGAGACTGAAGAAATAAATTATTTTACAGCTCTACAATGGATTATTATAATAACACAGTGATTTTCAACCACTTTCATCCCATGGTACACAAACTGATTATTGAACTTCTGCGGCACACCAAAAAAAGTTTTATTTTTTGTCAATCTGACAAAAAAATAGGTATAATTTTGATTCCTTCACATGAGATGGCTATTCTTGTGTTGGCTGTTGTCATTTACTTAGTTGACAACCTAAGAGTGAAGAGGCCGTTGCCCCTGATTAAATAGGGATTGCATGTTTTAGAAATTCTTGCGGCTCACCAGTTGCAAATCGCTGTAATAGCAGTTAAAATGAACAGCTGTCGTAGCAATTTGGATAACTCTAAAAAACTGGTTTCATACAGTGAACTGCAAAATTATATGAATAATATAGTATCGCAGTTAAAAAGCACGCAGAGTACTTTCACCTAGTGTGTGTGGACACACGCACATACCTATGTACTCGCCTGGTACTTGATCCTGCGGAAAGGGAAAGCAGGAAGGTTTCTCAAGCTTGCTAGTGGTGCGTGGGTTATTATTGTGTTATTCCGCATTTCATTGTACACATACCCTTTTATAATTCAGGGAAATCATTTCTTTGATAGAAGGTGTATCACTTTAAACTAGGACAGTGATCACTGATTGGTAAGAGAGATAATAAGTAGGAAGATGAGAAGGTGCCTTTGTTTCCTCTTAATTCTTCAGTTACTTACTGTTTTCTTTTAACATATTTTATTGATGTTTCACAGAGAGGAAGGGAGAGGGATAGAGAGTTAGAAACATCGATGTTTGATGAGAGAGAAACAATGATCAGCTGCCTCCTGCACACTTCCCACTGGGGGTGTCCCCATAACCAAGGTACATGCCCTTGACCGGAATCGAACCTGGGACCCTTCAGTCCCCAGGCCGACGCTCTATCCACTGAGCCAAACCGGTCAAGGCGTGTTTTCAAAGTTGGAGACAGTCACTTGAGAGTTCCCTCTTATCAATAAATATTACGTATCAGTCGACATTACCAGATGATGGTGGGCCCAGCTACTCACTGTTTATAGTTTTCGCCATCTCTCTCTTTTCCCGAATAAGCTGCTTCCGTCTCTCCCGCCACTCTTTGTTGAGTTTCTGCTGCTTGGAGTTCTCCTCCTGGAGCTGCACGATGCGGCCTTGGAGCCGACTCAAGGAGTGGTTAGAAAAAACCAGCGTTCCAGAAAGGTCCGTCGGTATTTCTCCAAATATCACATACTCTATCTGACAAAAAAGAAACCAGACAAAAATCAAAGCAGAGACCAAACTAAATGTGCAGTCACAGAGAGCACAGGGCAAGCAGTCCCTTCCGCTCCTTGTTTAGGTCATTGTCGCTGGCCTGGGTGACAGCAGGAGGTTGTCCGCGGAGAATGAGCACATTATAATTATCCCTCTGGGGCCGGCAGATCTGCCCACTCAGATCATGGCTAACTGTTGAGTGTTTCCTTCCACGACCCGCGTGGAGTAGGGTTCGGTATCTGAAAGAGGAGCCGCACAGCAAATGAGGAAAAAAGACACGAGATAATTTTGCAATATTGGGGGACCAGGCGGCAAGTCCCGAAGGACTTCCTCTCTGTGCTCAGGCCTCACCAAGCTTTTATTGATTCTGCAGTAGCCCTTAGCATAGCCCTTAGGCAGGTGACCCCCCATTAACAGGCAGACTAGCCCATCAGCAAGGTTTTACATAATAATAAATGGGGGAGTAGTTTCAGCTACCACTGTCTGGACAAACAGAGGTGGCGCCTAGCTCCGAGCTTTGCTAGGGCTTCAAAGGCACCCAGCCTTCGGGGGTTTCAGTCTATGCTTATCAGATAGTGAAGGCAATAAACAGTTTCCCACAGCTAACGTCTACTGCACAACGATGGGACTGACATTCCAGGGCTGGCACATTAGGCAAATTGCTACAGACAGCTGACCCAGTTTGCGTCAGGTTACGCGGAGCAAATTACACCTGAAACATCGCTGAAGGCAAAAATGACAAAACTGAAACGGTCCTAGTTAGGGCACATCGCGAGAAGGCAGGAAAAGACAATGATGCTGGGAAAATAGAAGGCATGCCGAGACCGGTTTGGCTCAGTGGATAGAGCATCAGCCTGCGGACTGGAAGGTCCCAGGTTCGATTCTGGTCAAGGACATGTACCTGGGTTGCTGATTGATGTTTCTCTCTCATCGATGTTTCTGACTCTCTATCTCTCTCCCTTCCTCTCTGTAAAAAATCAATAAAATATATTTTAGAAAAAGAAAATAGAAGGCAGCAGGAAAAGAGAGAAAATATGCGACGGATTGACTCCATAAAGGAAGCCACAGGCACGAGTCTACAGGAGCTGATCAGGGCTCTGAGGACAGGACACTGCGGACATCCCTCATTCATAGGGTCACCTGGGGTCAGAGCCAACTCAACAGCACGCAACACAGACGCATGTATACATAAGGCTGATCCTCGGTTTTTCTTCCCAAATACTGCGCTCTCTCTTTTTACCTGACAAAATAGAGTATGATGAGCCTTTTCTCTCACTGATATGTATCTCTGTCTTTTAAAATATTAGAATTCAAGTGGAGGGTGGAGATGAACACAAAATGGGGCAAAAGAAAATTTTCCTTTTGTCTTGACTTTTGTCATTAATGAGTAGAGATTACGTGAGGATCATTCTTGCATTATTACTTCACGTCTATTTAAAGATGGTGTGAAAAGTGATATGTGTGCAAGATCCAAGATTTCACCTGCCAAGCCACTCCACTCCTAAGTCCCAGGTCACCATTCTCCTGAAATGATTCAACTTCCACAGCTGAACAGCAGGCCGCCGGGAAACGCATGTGCTTTGGTGTGACTGGCATGTCACCCTACAGGGAGAATTCTCAGCAAAGGACTGCTCTTCTCCCGACCAGGGACCCTTGGGAAAGGCCTGGGTGGGGTGGTTCTGCTCAGACAGAGGAGGACATCCTCTCTGGGCCCCTCACCTGGTGGAGCTTGAGCGGAATCACAACCAGAATTTCATTCAGCTGCTGCTGCTTCTCTCGCTGATAGGCCTCCAGGTCCTCCTCTGCTGCGTTCAGATTATTCGCCACAATTTTGACCTGTGGGAGGCCCCATGAGTGAAATGTTGACAAGATTCAGCAAACACGTACCCAAGGTGGCAAATGAGGCCATCTTGGGAGGAAGGAGAAGCATGAGCAGGATCTGCGTTGCTGGGCTGGGCTGGGATGAAATGGGTGATTCCAGTTTGCAGCCCAGAAATGTATGGTATTTTCATCCTAAGTCGTGACCTACACCACTTTTCCCACCACACCTATGTCCCCAGAGTGCAGAGTTCTGGTGAATGTGAGCTCAGAAGGCATGTCCTCATTTCCCTTCTCTTTTCACATGAAAAGCTGCTTTTGGTACAGAGTGTCTTTGTCAGAATGGTTTGAATCTTGTTTGGTCATAGTAGGCTCAGTAAGTTAAAGGGGAAAGCCTTTAAAGTGATGAAACTACTAACTACAGTATTTCTGACGCACATCTTCATCTCCTAAAAACTTGAAAGTTTCCCAAATCATTTCCTATTTGAAAGAGTAGAAGCAATCTATCAAAAATATCTCTGAATATCAATCAAGTTAAGTGATGTTACTTTAGGAAAGATACCCAAGAGGGAAAATGAGCAGATAAGGGAGAAATTAATCAATATAATTATACCGAAAGGTTAGCTAACTGGTCTCCGACATGGGATGCACACAACCCAGAGTTAAAAAGTGAAGAAAGAAAATATCTGAGTTTCTATTTCTATTGACTTTTATCTTATTCTTTTTAATTTCTCTTCTTGTGAATGTTTCATATTATACAGAACACAGTTGACCCTTGAACAATGTGGAGGTGGGGGTAAAGGCACCAAGCCTGCACAATTGAAAATCCGCATATAACTGAAGTTGAGCCTCCACATCCATGGATTCCCAACCACAGATTCCGAATTACTGTTTTCCATCAGTGGTTGGTTGAATCTACAAATGCCAAACCTGGGGTTATAGAATTGACTGGGGAAAAAAACCTCTGTTATAAGTGGACCTCGGCTGTTTAGGAGTCAACTGTATATTGTACAATAGTGCATAAATACAACTTATATATAAATATACATTTATTATGTGGGTACAAGCACCACACTTTTTTTTTTTTACATATAGAAGTATGTAATCATAAAAATTTGGGAATCAATGATTTAAGAAAAGGAAGTCCAATGGCCCCCCCAGCATAACTGTGCTGGAAGGAAAAAAATCCTGGATGTAACATTTGAAGTGCGTCTTCTCTTCGGAAAAATCCTACATTATGTCATTGCTATGGAATTGAAATGTTCTAGCTGGGAGAACGAGTACCATGTTGAGGGCGGATAAACAGACCTGAAAAAAAGGCAAAGCATACTTTTTTGGACAATGTATCATATTCCTTTTTGAGGTTATCAAGAATTTTCTTCTCTTCAACTAAGGCCTCCTCAATGTCGAGCCTTTTCTCTCGCAGTTGAAGTGCCAGTTCATAAAGACTCACATCGCAATCTGCAAAGACACAATCAAAGAGAAGTCCCGTTTGTTATGGAACGTATTTCTACTGGACATGTGGGTTTGGGGCTTCAGAATGATCCATGTCCACTTGTGGGTCTAACGAGCAAGGTTTCATTACACTTGGGGCTCCATTATTCCAGGTGGAAACTATTACTAACCAGGATGGTAATTATGGTACTAGCACTGATGTTCAGAGCGGTCCTCTGAGCCAGGCTTTATGCTAGGCCCTTTATGTATGTTATCTCATTAAAGGCTCATAGGCCCTACACGGCAGAAACTACTCTTTTCATTTTATAGATGAGGACCCTACGTCTCAGAGAGGGCACATGGCTGACATGTGGCAGAATGGGATTCAAGTACAAGTCTCTCTATATCAATTTCCGCTATATTACACTAACAGCCAAATTTACCCACCAACTAACAGATAAAGAATCCTATATAATAAAGAGGTAATATGGAAATTGACTGTCATGCCCTTGCACAAGATAGCCAGCAGGGGAGGGCAGTTGGGGGCAATCGGGCTGGCAAGGGAGGGGAGTTGGGGGCACTCAGGCCGGAAGGGGAGCAGTTAGGCATCAATCAGGCTGGCAGGGGAGTGGTTAGGGAGTGATCAGGCTGGCAGGCAGAAGCGGCTAGGGGCAATCAGGCAGGCAGGCAGGCTAGCGGTTGGGAGCCAGCAGTCCGGGATTGTGAGAGGGATGTCCAAAGGGTCCCAGATTGGAGAGGGTGCAGGCTGGGCTGAGGGACACACCCCCCCACTCAGTGCACAAATTTCATACACCAGGCCTCTAATGTGAAAATATAATAGAGTACTACAATGGAATTCAGGAACCTTAGTTCTAATCCTAGTTCTACCACTAAATTAGCTGTGGGACTGTTCAACCCATTGGATCCTGGTATAAAATAACAAGGTGCAATACAAGATTTTGTAGCTCTCTTCTACTCATAAAGATTATGATTTTAAGATGACTCTTATTTTCAAAAATCAAAACAAGATTTAAAATTTTTTTGGAATTAAACTTTAAAATTTGATTTATAATTTATATAAAATGACTAGAAAAATAAATTTTAGATCAAATAGAAATTATTTTTCTACAGAATCATTTACCTATTGAAACTGTAAGAGTATTGGTCTGGGTGTTTCAGACTGGTTTCACCAGTGAAAACAGTGAATATAAATTGCCAAGAATCTCCAGGAAACTGGTACAAACTGCCCTGACAAAACAGATTGAAATATGAAAATGTGAATGGGTTTGTCAAAAAAGGGAGACCTTTGTAAAAAGAAAAAACATTTTAAAAATACATAATAATCTTTTGTTTTTCCATAAAATGAAACTTGCTGCATAATTAATGACCCTCAATGGACTAAAGATCGTCGGCAGATCATTTGTCACTCATATATAGCCACCTAAAGAAACAGAAAATCAACCATCCAGAGAGCCCCCCAGAGTATTCATTAGACTATACTTTGTATACCTTAAACCATCCTTTCCTTAAATATTATGATGCAATAATTGAGAAGACCAAAAAAAAAATAAAGAAAAGAAAGGATCTTCTTGGTATGGCCAATTCATAGTTACTTCACAGAGAACATCTGGTTTTATCCAACTTACCTGATGGGCAGAAAGAATCATCCAAAACATCATCTTCAGATCCAGACTCATTTTCATCACTCTCCAAGCTGGATTCCT